ATTTCTAATATCAACTTTGGCTCCTTTTTTGATGAGAAGTTCAGCAACATTCTTGTGACCTTAGAAATAATTTAGATCGATGAAAAAGATCAAACCGATTCTTTATTTTGTAAAAATACTTATTCAAAATTACCATTTTTAGCTGCCAAATGAAGAGGTGCATGATTAGAACGATTCATGATATCCATATTGGCGCCTCTGTTGATGAGAAGTTCAGCAACATTCTTGCGACCTTAGAAATAATTTAGATCGATGAAAAAGATCAAACCGATTCTTTATTTTGTGAAAATACTTATTCAACATTACCATTCATAGCAGCATAATGAAGAGGTGCATGATTAGAACGATTCATGATATCTATATTGGCGCCTCTGTTGATGAGAAGTTCAGCAACATTCTTGCGACCTTAGAAATAATTTAGATCGATGAAAAAGATCAAACCGATTCTTTATTTTGTAAAAATAATTATTCAACATTACCATTTTTAGCTGCCAAATGAAGAGGTGTATTTTTAAAATTATTCATGATATCCATACTGGCGCCTTTGTTGAGGAGAACCTCGGCGACATTTTTCTGATCTGAAAAATAATTCAGATCGATGAAAAAGATCAAACCGATTCTTAATTTTGTAAAAATAATTATTCAACATTACCATATCTAGCAGCATGATGAAGAGGTGTGAAATTCGAATAATCTCCAATATCAGCATTAGCTCCATTCTTGAGAAGCACATCAGCGACACCTCCGTGACCTAAAATAATACGGATCAATGAAAGAGATGGACGGGATATCTTATTTAGTCAACCTTACCATTCATAGCTGCCAAGTGAAGAGGTGTCTGATGCAAATTATTTTTAATATTAAGATCGTTTGCTTTACGGCTGAGAACTTCAGTGACGCTCTTGTGACCTGAAAAATAATTCAGATCGATGAAAAAATTAAACCAATTCCCCATTTAGTGAAAAAACAGTCAAGGCTGCACTGACGAAGTGTAGTAGACATCACACACAACTCTGACACCCGTGTATGTATGCTAGTCGGTTTTGTGTGTGAGTTGGTTGCGATGGCTGTATATGCGACGTTTGTTTGCACGATTGTTGTGTGCGCGGCAGTTGTATCGCGATATGCTTGTCTATTGGCCGAAGCATATTCAATGCTTGCTGCTAAGCAATACTAATGCGCATAGTACTCGAAAAGAGTATTCAAAATTACCATTCTTAGCTGCCAAATGAAGAGGTGTATTATTAAAATTATTTATGATATCCACACTGGCGCCTTTGTTGAGAAGAACCTCGGTGACATTTTTGTGGCCTGAAAAATAATTCAGATCGATGGAAAAGATCAAATCAATCTTTTATTTAATGAAAACGAGTATTCAACATTACCATAGTCAGCAGCTAAATGAAGAGCTGTGTTATTCAAATTATTTCCAGTATTAGCGTTAGCTCCATTCTTGAGAAGCACATCAGCGACACCTCCGTGACCTAAAATAATACGGATCAATGAAAAAATTAAACCAATTCCCAATGCTTGTCCATTGGCCAAAGCATATTCAATGCTTGCTGCTAAGCAATACTAATGCGCATAGTACTCGAAAAGAGTATTCAAAATCACCATGGGAAGCAGCACAATGAAGAGGTGTCTCTTTCGTTCTAGTTT